AAAATCAACACTCACTGAGGGCAAATAAGAGACCATCATATAGAACAACCTCACCCATAGGGCGTCAAAGAGAAAACAGCCACCAGGATAGCACTGGTTCAATAGTGGAAGGAGGCAAAAATAAACCACACACAATACAAGCAAATAAGATAGGTAGGTAGGAAAATACCCAACACAAAAGGTACAAGATGACATCACAGAGTTCACAGATTGATGTAATAACACTGAATATCAATGGCCTGAACTCAGGCATTAAAAGGCAGAGGTTAACAAACTGGTTCAGAAAACATAACCCATCTATCTACTGCCTACAGGAGACACATCTCAAGCTTGCAGACAAAAACATGTTGAGAATTAAAGGCTGGAGAAAAATATACAAAGCTAATGGCAATGCAAAAAAGGCAGGGGAACCAAGAGGGAAGTGCCGACTGCACCGGCGGAAACAGACATGCCTGCAGCCAAGAAGCAGAAGCTAAGCAGTGACAAGAACAGCAACCCGGACCTCACTGGAGATGAGAAGGATGATGCTGTCAGTATAGAAAGTGGTATAAACACTGAACGCCCTGATACACCTACAAACACAGCAAATGCACCTGGAAGTAAAAGTTGGGGAAAGGGAAAATGGAAGTCCAAAAAATGCAAATATTCTTTCAAATGTGTAAATAGTCTCAAGGAAGATCAGAACCAACCATTATTTGGAGTTCAATTTACCTGGCATAGTAAAGAAGGAGATCCATTAGTGTTTGCAACTGTAGGAAGCAGCAGGGTTACCCTATGTGAATGTCACTCCCAAAGAGAAATCCTGTTGTTGCAATCTTATGTGGATGCTGATGCTGATGAAAACTTTTATACTTGTGCATGGACATACGATAGCAATACAAGCTATCCTCTGCTGGCTGTGGCTGGCTCTAGAGGCACAATTAGGATAATCAACCCTATAACAATGCAGTGTGTAAAGCACAATGTTGGTCATGAAAATGCTATCAATGAACTGAAATTCCACCCAGGAGATCCAAATCTCCTCTTATCAGTAAGTAAAGATCATGCTTTACGATTATGGAATATCCAAACAGACACTCTGCTGGCAATATTTGGAGGAGTAGAAGGGCACAGAGATGAAGTTCTAAGTGCTGATTATGATCTTTTGGGTGAAAAAATAATGTCCTGTGGTATGGATCACTCTCTTAAACTTTGGAGGATTAAGTCAAAGAGAATGATGAATACAATCAAGGACTCCTGTGATTATAACCCAAATAAAACCACAGGCCATTTATTTCTCAGAAAATTCAGGTCCCTGACTTTTCTACTAGAGACATTCATAGGAATTATTGTTGATTGTGTGCGATTCTTAGGAGATTTGATACTTTCCAAGTCTTGCGAAAATGCCATTGTATGCTGGAAACCTGGCAAAATGGAAGATGATATAGATAAAATTAAACCCAGTGAATCTAATGTGACTATTCTTGGGCGATTTGATTACAGCCAGTGTGACATCTGGTACATGAGATTTTCTATGGATTTCTGGCAAAAGATGCTTGCATT